AGTTAAACAATTACTACTTTGCAGACTCATTCTATTTCTGCTGTCTCCAGTCTAATTTCTCTTGTTAAACCCTACCTTTCTCTACAATTCTAAACCAAGGTCACGGATGCTTACCTCCTCCAGAGATTTCCACATCCCTTTTTTGTACATTAAAACCATTCTTTTAATTACTGTTTGGAAGAAATAACTAAAGAGTATTTCCAAATAACAAAACTTAAAAATTACCCTTCGGAAAGTAAAAGAAAACTTCACATGACCCCTCCGAGAGAGAACACAGCGAGAGTCTCCAGCATTTGCAACAAGAAGTTGATTATTTCGAACAATTGCAACACAAGCTGTGCATCCATCAGATGGTCCATTGTAATCAGAGAGAGCTTCCTACATTCACAAAAATATTTAGCAAGAATTAATGTGAGATAAAAACGCAGCCAAAAGAAAATTACAACACATCTAAACAATCATGCACCATGTTCAGTTAGGTCCAAATGAGGGTAGACCAGACTGATGTAGTGAATGTAATCCTATTTGCTAATAGTTAAATAGGCCCCAGAGATCTCTCTTTCAGAAAATGCATCAAGATCATGTATTGAATATAATTTCTCACATTTATAGAGAATTATAGATGGTCAAACTTTTCATTCTTTATGATTTTGTCAGTAGAAATATCATGCAGCTCAGAGATCAAAATGCACGTGTTTTGTGCAAAGTGGGCACTGCTTTTAACCAATAAACACTGCAGTTTTCTTCAGTTTTAACCACATATTCTCCAAAAATCACTGTTCAAAAATGCTTTTTTTTTCCTCTCAAAATGTGGGTCATACAAGGGCTTAGACAAATAAATAAGATAGTGCAAATACCTCCTCAGAAGTCCAGTCATCTATTTGGCTGTTAAATTCACCACTCTTGGGTGACTGTATTAAGCCTTCTAAATCACCCCCAAGTTGGTCCATTTTGCCACCAAATAAAGCCAACTCTCTCTGCCCTCTTGGTTCGGTCATCATTTCATCCATTCTGAAGCAGAAAATAGAAGAATGTTAAAGCATACAAGTTAAAAAGGAAAGAACCTTAAACTGGTGCTCATCATTATACAATTAAAAAGAAAAAGTGATAGATATATTATTTCAAAATCCTTAAAAAGTATGAATTTGCAGCCTATTTTAGTGATAGGGTTGCTCACGAGTCCATTTACACCACTATTTGGAATATGTCTCTAAGCTCACGAGTCCTAGCAGACTGTTGAATTATGACATTTAAATGAATGGGCACATTTCCGGGTCAAAATGACAGCACTTCAAACATTTACAATTCCTTGAGGTACACCAT